CTCAAAGAGGGGACCGTATTAGTTACTTTTCTGTGACTATTACAAAACACCATGATGAAGGTAATTTATAAAAGGAAGAGTTTGTTTGACTTATGAAGGGGTGAGTGCTTGGTGGTGGGAAGGCAGAGCAGAAGGCAGCCAGAGCAGAACACTGAGCACTCACAAGAAGACACAGGAAGTAGAGAACAAAAGCAGAAATGGATTGTGGCCATGAACTTCAAAGCTCACCCTCAGTGAAGTGCTTCCTCTAACAAGGCCACACCTCCCAGGGATTCCATGATCTTCCCAAAACAGAGGCACCACTGACAATTTGTTCAAATACTTGAGCCTGTGGAGGACATTCTCTATTAAACCACCACAGGGGCCCACGCTTACACCACCCAAAACACTTGAAAAACCCAGGTCTGCAAGGGATTTTGGATTTCATGTTCTTGATTCCCCATTCCATTTGTGGAAAGTCTGTCTTTCTGTGTTAGTGTGTGTGTGTGTGTGTGTGTGTATGTGTGTCTGTGTGTCTGTGTGTGTTAGTGTGTCTGTGTCTGTGTGTGTGTCTGTGTATGTCTGTGTCTGTGTGTGTGTCTGTGTGTATTCCATTTGTGGAAAGTCTGTCTTTCTGTGTTAGTGTGTGTGCGTGTGTGTGTGTGTATGTGTGTCTGTGTGTGTTAGTGTGTCTGTGTCTGTGTGTGTGTGTCTGTGTATGTCTGTGTCTGTGTGTGTGTCTGTGTGTGTGTATGTGTCTGTGTGTCTGTGAGCCTGTGTGTGTGTCTGTGTGTGTTAGTGTGTCTGTGTCTATGTGTCTGTGTCTGTGTGTGTCTGTGTGTGTCTGTGTCTGTGTGTCTGTGTGTGTCTGTGTCTGTGTGTGTCTGTGTGTTGTGTCTGTGTGTGTGTGTTGTGTTGGTGTGTCTGTGTCTGTGTGTGTGTCTGTGTCTGTGTCTGTGTACGTGTGTCTGTGTGTGTCTGTGTCTGTGTGTCTGTGTGTCTGTGTGTGTGTCTGTCTGTGTGTGTCTGTGTGTATGTGTCTGTGTCTGTGTGTGTCTGTGTCTGTGTCTATGTGTCTGTGTCTGTGTGTGTCTGTGTCTGTGTCTATGTGTCTGTGTCTGTGTGTGTCTGTGTCTGTGTCTATGTGTCTGTGTCTGTGTGTGTCTGTGTCTGTGTCTATGTGTCTGTGTCTGTGTGTGTCTGTGTCTGTGTCTATGTGTCTGTGTCTGTGTGTGTCTGTGTCTGTGTGTCTGTGTGTGTTAGTGTGTCTGTGTGTGTTAGTGTGTCCGTGTGTGTGTGTGTCTCTGTGTCTGCCTGTGTGTGTGTCTGTGTCTCTGTGTGCCTGTGTGTGCATTTCTTCACTTTTGATGGTTTGTTGCCTGTTGTGCCTGAAATTCTTCTTGCCTTTTAAGTCTTTAATTGGAAGAGAAAATAAGCTGATCAAGAACTCTAGATGATACGTTAACATCGCCATAGACAACCAGATTGTGACAGTGTCCTGCTTACATTCCCTGCAGCTATTCCTCAGACATAACAAGATGAGGAACAAAAACCCTCAGACTGTGCAAAAGCTACTGCCACTGAGCTCTTTCGTTTTTACTACCCTTTTCCTGAACTTCTTGCTGTATGCCAAGTCCATTCACAATCACCTTCACCCATCTAACATCTTGTCCTTTTTCCTAGCTCAGGGATAAATCCACTTTGGTCCTGAAATACCGTTAATGACAACTGCCCCCTGGATCACCTTTAAATCTTTGCAGTCTGCATCAGCTGAGTATGTCTGCCTTGTCACCAAGACTTTAATAGTCTGGGTACAATGCAGAATCTCCAATTCCTTTGAGACGGTGGCACTGCTCCTAGAATCTTCTTTTCCACAAAGGTAAGATGAACTGGGAGACTATAAACTGGCAGGAGGCAGTAGAAGGAAATGCATGGGGGAGGCCAGAGGCTGGGCTCTCACCTGGTTGCACACAGGCTTGTACTTCAGCCCTGGCTTATTCAGGATTCTCTCCAGCTGTCTGTGGTTAAAGTTGGACACCCCGATGGACTTGACCAATCCTGCATCCTTACACTTCTCCATGGCCTAGGAAAGAAGGATCTGTGAAGAGCAGCACTTCCAGCTGGCTACATCAATATAACTGTAAGATGGAGCAGTTAAAAGGAGCGTTGTCCGACCCTGAACATACAGCTCAGCACAGAGCACTTGCCAACATTTGTACAAGACCCTTTTTTGATCACCAGCACACCAACGCTGCACAAAAGTCAGAGGAAACACTGCCCAAATGATCGATAGAATTGAATATGAAGAAAGGAAAAAAGTGAAAATAATGTAAGTAAAAGCCATAAAGAATTCCTATGTCCTCACTAGAGAATCATTCCTATTACACTGCATGTGGTGGTACGATATACATCTTCCTGTTGTCCAGAGTTCACCTCCTTCCATTCACAGGCAGTATTTCATGTATTTCATGCATCCCCCTTTGCCCCCGCTGGTCACCCATGTAAACATAATGAATGTCTATGCTCAAAGGCTCATATCCCACTTTCTCGAGGCTTGCTTGACTGATTCTCCCTCTTTCAGTTCCCTCTGTTTCCCTCTTTAAACAACTTACCTCCCACGTGTCACATATATCCACTGTATCCAATAATGGTTTTCCATCTTCATCTTCTGGAAAAAAATCCTCCCCTGGCTGGAATACAAGCAGTCATCACAATAATCTCAACAAACACATGTGCCTCATGCATAGCAAGACTCCAAGGAATCTCTTGAGAGCCAAACACTACACATCCATTAAGAGAATATTACATTTCTGTAAAGTGATTTGCATGAAATTATGGGGAATATATTAGGTGTTCAGATTATTCTCTTGTATAAACAGTAAATACATGCTATTACATATGTTTGAAGATCCACCTGAGGTCTTTTAGCTGACTGCTATTTTTCTACCTATACATACTTCTGGCGAGAAATTTCTTTCACAGGGAAATTTATTCATATAAACCTCAACAACCATTAGTAATAAATTTTCAGTCCTGACCCAGGCTAAACAATTGGTGATGTGTTTCTACCAGCTGGGACACATGTGGGTAAAAAGGAACTGTGTTATTTAAAGATGGTCAGTCAAGGTTGTATGCAAGACTGATTTTGATGGTGGAGCATACAGAGAAGCCACAAAATGCCAACGACCATAGAGCTTGAATTGCCTCAATGCCGTGTTTGCCACTAATAGATAAAGCTGGAATAAAGCCCAAGCAAACATCTACTAGTGCAGACATAAGGAATGTAGAAACAGTGACATCTATGAAGGTTACTTTGACTCTGTAATTCTGGTCATTGCTTGGGCTTCCCAATTCATAATTCAGTAAACTCTTTTGTATAATCTACCTTGAGAGACTATGTAACACATAAATTGACGTTATGTGAAATTATAATAGAACCTTATCTTAGTCATCCATGAAAATGATAACCAAGCCCCTGACAAAATTAAGTTTGATCATTCAAGTTAGTTACCTTCATTGGCACTGGGTAATGAATAAGATAAAGGTCAACATAATCCAATTGTAGATTTTTCAGTGATTTTTCCAAGTTAGATCGAACCATCTCTGGTCTCTGGAAAGTGCACCAAAGCTACATACGTGGAAGGGACGAAGCAAAGTTGGATTAACACAGTAGCCAACCATGAGGCTTTATTGGACCAAACAGTGACACATTTTTGTACTCTATAGAAACTTACAGCCATAAGACAAAGTATCCCCTATGTGCTGGGACTACCACTGATCTGGCCTATCCATGTGAACAAGACTGTGTGTTTATTACCAATCTAAAAAATGAAGTACTAGTTCTCAAAAGATGAAATGTCTACCAACTAATAATAATCTCTAATTTACGAATTTCATTTATAGAGATCATAAAGCAATTATTAATCTAATTATGTGATCTATCCATATCACTATAGAAAATTAGCATCCCTTTCTTTACATAACTGGGCAGAAACATCATATGAACATCTTAATACTTGATGGAGACAAATCTCCTCAGTGTACCTTAACATACAAAAACTCTTGTACTGGTCTTTGATAATTTCAAAGATAAAAATTAGTATTTGGAATGAAGCAAATTTTAGAAAGCTACCCAAGAAATATAATAAACCACAATTTCATAGTTTTATGTCAACTCACAGCCCATGCAAAACATACTGCTTTGAATTGAGGCTCAAAAACGTGAAGGACTTCAAAGTTAGTTATACATTTGTAGACAGCAGATAGGTCCTAATCGTTCTCTGCCTTTCATGCTAGAGCTCATCTATGAATTTTATGTGAATAAAAGTTGTACCGATATGTACATTTCAACAGTCAATGATCCAATAACATATTTGCTTCTTATATGACAATTAATTGATTTGTACACCTGCACATTATACACAAAATACCTTTGTGGTGAGGAATATGTCTTCTCTCTTCACAATTCCAGCTGCAATCTTGCTTTGAATGGCCTGTGCCACATCTTTTTCAGTTTGGTACACATATGCAGTATCAATATGGCGGAACCCAGCCTCAAGAGCTAAGTTCACAGCCTGCAGTGGCTTACCTTGAGGAACCTAAAACAGGAACCAAAAGCAGCATTTGAAAACACACGGCATGAGAAGCCACTCTGAGTGAGCCTAACAGACAGTTTTCTAGAACGGGAGGAATTTTCTGTTCCAAAACCATTTTCAGACACCTTAAGTATCTAACAAGAGACTGCTTCTCTGATCATTGTATTTCCATTTTTCTGCTAAAGCTAATGAGATCTACTGTTTAGTAATTGTGGCAGTCAGACAGAAGAAGTGACTTCAGGAAAAACATTTCCCTATATCTTAGGTTAGTTGAGCACTTGGTGTAATAAACCTAAACTCACTTCCACTGGGTATTTACTAATAAATAACAAGAATTTCACATTCTATAACTTCTTTATACCGATTCAGTCACAGCTGATCATTTGCATCAGAAGACCACAAAAGGACCAAATTAAATCAAATTAAATGATTTTCTGGATTTCTAGGACAGCACATATAGAATTGTCCCACTATAATTTATATAGTGGGGTCACACAATAAAATGAATACATAATAAGAGTGCTTAAAACAAAATAGAGAAGAAATACAAATATGGGTCATCAATCCACAGCTCTACTCCCGGTAAAGACATGGAAAACACCAAATTCTTTCTGCACTGATAGTTGACAATGCATGAGAGATCTTGTCTGTGCAAAAAGTTGTTTTCTTCTTCATTTTGCAAGGTATTATTTGTGTGGGGTGTCAGCCCTTAAAACCAAAGCTCCTTCGCTTATAAAAGATAAATTAGAGCAAAATTTAAAATTATTGCCTCGCCTGTAAGACTTGGATAATGATGTCAAAGTTTTCACATTTATTTTAAGAGGTTTAGAAGCTTTCTTGTCATAGCAAGATTACAATGAATGAAAGAGTGTGTCCTAACAGTAGCCCTGAAACCTGTCTTGACTTCCTGGTTGGAAGAGCAGTGAGAAGCTGAGGCCTTTGTAGTGATCCTGATACTTTTTTGCCACTTTATCCTTCAAAGTAATTAAGTCCCATCATTTCTCTTCATGGTTGCTCCTTAGATATTTTTGACAAGATTGGGTGCTATAGATGCTTCTTAGATAACTGTGAATCATAAAGATGGAATGTATGCATTCAAAGTTCAAGGAGAAAGTCAGTTACAGTTATCATGAAATTCTGTGGCCTGAGGAAAACATTTTAAATATGATTAAAATTCTTTCTACTTTTATAAACTGGCCTCTTTGATTGCTTCATTTCAGAGAGCCTTTGAGACCACTGTAAGTCTAAACTTAATGTATGTTAACAAGGACCAATAATTCACTTAACCCTGATTAGGTCCTGCTTTCCCCCATCATGACATTGCATTGACCATTCAGGTAACTTTCTCAACAGTTGAAAATAGTACATAACAGTTTCCAGTTGGCTTGGTTAAGTCATCCATTGTGAGACGTTAAAGGCTATTCCAAAGCTGAGGTACTCCTTGAACATTCATTTTATGCATCTCATCTACATAAACTCTAAACTGCTTATTTCCATACATCTTGCACTAGATAAAGGTAAAAATGGCCTGGATTATAGAAATGAACAGAATTCCCCAACTTTCTCCATTGCAATCAACATCAAATCCAGGACGCTGACAGCTAACACTCTGGACTGAGAAACACTGAAACAGGGGAAACGGTGCCATAAATAATCAACAGGTGTCTCCATAATCAGACTGAAGCAGAGCCACGTACAGCTGCCTTCTCTCCTGTACACACAAGGGCTCTACCCCAGAGAAACAGAACCCAGCGAGCAGTACTTCATGTAGAAGTGGGTGACTTGACAGTCTGACATTCTCAACTTATCCTAGGCCTATTTTCCTTTGAACCCTTCATCCCAGCACCGCAGTTCTTACCTCTTCTGGTTTGTACGTACCAAAGCCCAGAGCAGGAATGAAGTGGCCGTCGTTTAGTTTCACACTCTGCTGTTTAGAACTCATTCTCACTGCTCTGCCTAAGCAGATTCAGATTCTTCTGCTCCCTTCAGGGGTCAAGGAATATATCATCCTAGGCCTATTTTCCTTTGAACCCTTCATCCCAGCACCACAGTTCTTACCTCTTCTGGTTTGTATGTACCAAAGCCCAGAGCAGGAATGAAGTGGCCGTCGTTTAGTTTCACACTCTGCTGTTTAGAACTCATTCTCACTGCTCTGCCTAAGCAGATTCAGATTCTTCTGCTCCCTTCAGGGGTCAAGGAATATATAGAAGTAAGATATCAGCTTCTTGTCTAATGATTAACCAGTGTACGCCCTGTCCAATGATTAAATACTACTGCCTTTCTAATGGTTAACCAGTGGCAGTACCTATTTAATGGATAGCCAATAAAAGATGGAAGGTTACACAATATCCCACATGAGAGAGGGGAACTGAAACCATTCACTTCTATAAAAGAGAATCCTTATGTGAATTACTATATAGTCATGATTTGTTTTCATAAATTTTCTGTGTACAATCTCCTATGAACTGCTGTGAGCTATTACAGGAGGTTAGTTGCAGAATTACTGATGATTGGTTAGATGAAATCCCTCTGGATTCTCTTGTTGCAGGGATGTCTCAAGATTCCTCTGGTTCAACCTCAGTGTTAGTTTCAGCTCTTGTACTCCTAAAAGAGAATTTGAAAATGACACAGCCATTGGGCAAGTAATCAAGAATTTCTTTGTAGGAGTGATAAAGAATATTCTTCAGAATAAGAGCAGACCATTCCAAGAAACAAGGGCCTTGATCTTCAGAGGCATTGGCTGATGTTTCTCCTCTGTGTTACTCCTCCCCTGTGTTTCCCTAAGTTTCAACACTTTCAGGAGAGGGGTATGATTCTCTTGGAAGCCTGTTCTACCCAAACTTCAGTCTAAGTCACTATGTAGAGGGGTTTAAATACCCTCAACATTAAAAAGTTCCCTAAGATAAAGGGTAACAGCACTCTGTTCTTCCCCAGCAAGGAAATTCCTGAAGCCACCTTGAGCTGACCCAGGTAGAGTCACCCACTAACATATATTCTTTACATCCTATTTGAGGATCCCTGTGCTGGCCCAGCTGTAGCAACCACCACCAAATATTTTTACATCCTGTTTCATAGACCACCACCATCTTTATATCCTACTAGAGGCCAAGTTGTCTCAACCAGAGTGACCACCACTGCTTATTACTCCTTATGTCCAGCCCTGGGGGCCTCGTTGGTCTGCCTAACATTCTCCCTGCACAAATTAGGCTTCTGAAATCTTTCAGGGAACAGGCTCATCTGGCTCTTTCTGCTGGGTGAGAACATTGTCATGGGCAACCTCCAAGTCAAGCATCACAGATCCTCTAGGGAATGCCAAACCAGACAATCTATAAAGGTGGAAGTAGATATGGTGATCAAGGGTTGGCATCGTATGGTCAACACCATTGAAGTTTTGGAACCTCAAGTCTAAAAGGATCAGTTATGAGAAGAGGTCAAGTAAACTAAGACCAAAGGCACAAGGCAGAGATTAAACTGTAATGAAGAGGTTCTGGGAATCTCTCCCAGAGTATGGTATCTCGGGATGTGGTCCAGAAGAGGAGGACCAATATAAATATATGCATCTATACATGTATATATGCCTTCCTGGAAGTAAAAATTAGATTAGCCATTAAATGAGTCGGGCACTGAAAATGCAGAGAAACATAAGGAATCTTATTAGAGAGAAAAGAGAGGCTGACCATGACTATGCCTATTTAAACAATGATAAGAAAACATCTGAAATTATTTTTAAGACTATCAAGAAAAAATTCATCTGGTGGGGCCATAGTTAAGCTTGAGCATAAGTGTATTAAGGCACCTCCCATGAGGAGAATTTTGATAGCAGGAGCTATGGATCATGGGTGGTGATTGATTTATTGTTCAAGAATAGCTCTATATTCTCATTCTGAGTGCTTTCTGGAAAACAGGGTTTCATCCTGGACAGATGAACCTAATTTGTAATTACCTGGAATTTCACAGCCATTTGAGTACATTCCTACTTTTAAAAAATAATTTATTATTTTTATTTTTTGTGTACGAGTGTATTGCCTGCATGTATGTGAGGGCACCCACGTTGTGCAATGCTGCAGAGGTAAGAAGAGGGCTTAAGATTCCCCTGGAACTGGAGTTAAGGATGGTTCTTAGGCACCATGTGGGTGCTGAGAATCAAACCTGGGTCCTCTACAAGAGCATTCAATGCTCTTAACTGCTGAGCCATCTCTCCAGCCCTGAGTACTGCCCCTTTTAAATTGGTTAAAACTGGTCATGAAATGACTGTATTTCTATGTTTTTAGGAGTACCATGCTCCCTAACTGAACCAGAAAAAAAATCTTGATTGAAGCCGGTATGATTTATTATTATTATTATTACTATTATTATTTATTATTATTACTATACTTTCCTATTGGATGTTTAAGACCATACAAGTGGTCAAAAATTAACGCTTACTGAAGGGTATACAAGGACTCTAGGGGATAAAGGGAAAGAAAGAGCTCAAGAGAGGTAGGACCATAGGAGGAGGGTATTATTAAGGGAGAAAGGGAGAAAATGGGGCACCTTAATTGGGGAAACCATGATGGAGGGGTTAGATAATGTGAGAGATGAATAATGCGTAGCTGGTTTTAAAAACCAGAGGTAACCATATTACTCCAACAACCTACTGACAAATTATACATACCAGATCAAGAAATATATGTCTAGGTAAGGGTTATCTGAGAACAATTGGTCTTTGCCCAAGATTTATCTACATGACACACAGTAATTAAAAGTACCAGACTGGTGAAACTAAACTTCTTGGATGTTTAACAGTCATACTTTGAAGCTTATACTAATGTGGTCAGAGGGACATAAAGGGCAGTTTTTGCTCCTTGCCCTCCTAGGTCGACTAGTTCCAGGGGACTATAAGCATCTCCCAAAATGTCCTGTAATTGTGGTGGGTCACCTGTTCTCTTGATCAAGGAGGCTGAGGAGACCCCACAAGAAGAACTTGAACCAATGTCCAGTCTACAAAGAGGAGGGTCAACAAAGAGGAAACATTTCCTCCATGCTTCCAAATGAAGCCAGGCATGGTCGAGCAGGACCATTGACTTATCTTCACATAGGCAGAACTGGTAAAAGAAAGGAGCCAGGGGCTCCTCCCAAGCCCATGTGACCCCTGAGGAACAGATCCTCAAACAACCTTAAGAGTAAAAATAAATTGGTTTATCTGGGCCAACTGTATGGTCTTAAACACTCAAAAGGAAAGTATAACCAAAGATTAGAGGTGCCAATATAATTTTTTAAGGATCCATATGTATAGCTAAAGGCTACATAACAAGCAATAATGTCAGATAGGAGATACCTTCCTTTGAGTCGTTGGCCAGGGTGGTCAAAGGGACTCCCAGATAGAAACCCAGCATAGAACTGGGAAAATGAACAGCAGACCCCAATCTTATCTAAAGGAATATTGACAACTGATTGCTGCTAGATGAGGAACAGCTGACCTTCCTAAAACAAAGACCTCTGGATAGGCTGACTAGATTCACTGGATGGACAAGCAGTGGGGAACGTCTGGGGTGCCGACAACACAGCAGACAGTAGCAGGGATAACAGAGTATAAGGGCTGTAGTGGAGGGAGGGAGGCTATGGGAGAGTGCCATCTGGGAAGTTGGTGTATGGTTGAATAAGATGGTTTGGTATGTTCTGTGTGATATACACACACAAATCAAAAATCAACAAATTTTTAAATGTATTATATTTGAGGAGGAAGTATGAAAATTTATGTCATGTTAATTAGTAGAGGTGATAAACATTACCATTGAAATCTACCTGATGACTTTATAGACATACACAAGTGCCAAGGATCCAAGTGCAACCGATTATGACTAATAATCATCAGATACATTCAAATTAGAGACGCATGTGCCAGCATTTCAGTGTTAGTAGCAGAAACAATGAGTCTTTCTGTAAGAAACCATATATTTTAAAATGAAATGTGGATCTCTTTTAAAGGTTAAAAACTCATTCAATTTTATGTCTTACAGGGCTTATACTGAGTTCAAAATTGTATAACTGTATTAATTCAACTGTGAACCTAAAAATTTATAGCCACTTTTGAAAGAGATGTATCTTGGCTTTGGAAATTTTTATTGAATATGTTAAAGTTGTAATGAAATGCCTCTTCTAATCATGTGGGTATTAAATTTAAAAAATAAAAATAAAAAATAATAATTCTTCAAAGCATAAAAATTTGCTCCTCAATAATTAGTAGATGTGAAAAACATTACCACTGAAATCTGCCTGATGATTTTATATCCATGCTCAGATGCCAAGGAACTCAGAAAGTAACTGTGACTAGAAATAATCAGATATATAGAGATCAAAAACGCATGTGCAAACATCTTAGTGTCAATTGTGTTAAAAATGAATTTTTCTATATGAAACTGTGTATTTTAATAAGGAAATGGAGATCTTTTTTGAGGGTTAAAACCTCATTTAATTTTATGTCTTGTACGGTTTGTGCTGCACACAATATTGTATAACTGTATTATTTCAACTGTAAACCTAAAAGTTTACAGCCAATTTTGAAGGAGATGCATCTTAGCTCTGGAAATTGTTATTGAATGTGTCAATGTTGTTGTAATGAAATGTTTCTTCTAATTATGTGGTTATTAAATAAATAATTTTTTAAATTAACCCTTATTTTAAAAAGTCAGTGGACATTCATGGGAGGGGATCACAGTTCCAGATCACAGGAGGGACAACTCTGGCTCATAGGAGGGAACCACAGGCATGAGCCATGGTTCCACATTTCACTGGTGGTGAGCTGATGCTGGAGCAGACCGGAGGATGGAGGCAGCAGTTTCAGCCTTCTCTGCGTGTCTGCGTCCCCCACAACCACCTCCTCTAAGTCCAAAGTTGTGCATGGCAGGGGCTTTGCCTCTGTGTTAGACTTATGGTGGAGCTAGAGGAGGTGTCTGTCACTTACAGCTTCTAGTCTTGGGAGAATCGATTCTCATGAATGGACTTCCCACCTCCCTTCATGACCAGCTAAGGTCTTGACTCCACATGTGCTCCTGGGCACTCAGGCCCTGACATCAGACCTTCCCAATTCCTAGGCACCAAGAAGTTTTCCACCATTTTTCTATTGCTCTTCTACAGTCCCGGGGTACCTTCACCTGTGCCCTACAGGAATATAAAGCAGCTAACTGAACTTCTAGAGAAAGGAAAAGAACATTACACAAAGAGTTGGGGAAAATGAGGAGTGAGGGTGAATATATAAAAGATACATTGTATCCATTCATGAAATTCTCAAAGAATTAATAAAATACTGTACTTAGGGACTTAGAAGGAGCCCATAGCTTTTTAACTGCTTCCTATACCAGGTATGCCATCTTCAGGAGAGAGTCTTGCTAACTATGTGACCCTAGAAGCACAGGGAACATTTCCATTGACTCTTCTTCTTGTAGGATGTGTGCTGCTTAGAGTTCAGTCTCTGGACTCTACAAGGCCTCTGTGATTAAGAGGCCCTGTGGCTTACCAGAGTAACAAGGCTCTTTTACAGGGGACCCTTTGTCTTCTGAGTCCTGGCTGACCCAGAATATTAGCCGTCTTTTTAGCCTTGCTACCCTCATTGGTTCAAGCCTCCA